TATTAGAAAGTCTCATGTTCAAATTCAATGAGCAATAAAAATCCCCTTGTGGCCACGGAGGTTCAAATGCAATGACTCCGGACTATTTGCAAAGCAGGTGGTCGCCCTGGGATTAGTCGGCTCGCATAGCGGGTTGGATATCCAGGTTAATAAAAAAAAGTTTACAGGAATAAAGAATTATGTGTCGTATCTAAAAGTGTTACAATATGTTCAAACAATTGTGTATCGTTTATACGTACATGTGTTGTAATAATATTTATATGAACATAATAACACGTGTTTTAGGATGCTCTTAAAATAACGTATCATATCAGTTGTTTTATATAGAAGACACTTTTTAAAAGTGTCCTATGAACACATCTGTTGTTCAAAGGATACTTGTTTTATAAGACAATTTTCAAATAATGTTGAATAAGACACTTTGTTTTAAAGTTGTCTTAAAACTTTAGCACGACCAAAAATGGTTCTATCAACTTATTATAATACTTTTAATTACGACATATAATTGATTGATCATATAAACTTTTGTCACGGTATTATAATCCAAGAATGAGGGAGTGGAGTGTATATATATATATATATATATATATATATATATGTATGTATATATATATATCAGGTTTTGTTCTTCCAAGGACAAGTCGTTTTCCTTCCTTCAATCTGGCTCACGATCTCTCTCACTTGTAATTTTCAACTATACATATGGTCGCTCCAATAAAATCAACTTTATAGGATGTCGAATATTTTTAAATGTTGTAATAAACTGATTTATGTAACTTACATTTATAATATCAAACAATTATATATATATATATATATATATATATATATATATTACAGTAAGTTGATAGAACGATTTTTGATATCTTAACAAATTTTTTAGAACATTTTTTAAATAAAATCTCGTACTATATACCTTGTTAACATGACAATCTGATAAATGTGCTATAAACAGATTATTGTATAGGACATATGTTTTTATAAATCATATAAAAAGATTGATGGAACATTGTATTTCAAAAACCTTTTATCAACTTATTATAACATTATTACATATGACACATAATTGTTTGATTCTATAAGCTTAAGTAGTAGTTTATAAAATACATGTCATATGTCAGATACTAAAAAAATTATAGTTATTTTATTTATTAATTTTTAAACTATTAATATAATATATATACTAAAAAAATGTGGAACCTTATTTTTATGGATCATGGACATGCGCCTGTCCCTCCAGTGTTTATGGGATATGGGGCATCGAATACAAGTAAAGTCAAAATCTTGATTAAAACATATGTAGAGAGAGATTTGAGATCACGTGAGATTAAAGGTTTTTCGTGAGATTTGTAAGAACAATTATCAACCCTTGGATTAGATCTACAATCTAAACATTCATAATCACAAAATTGCCTCGAGACTTCTCAATAATCACAAAATTGTTACCGTGCAACTTTAAACCATTAGATTATTGGCTTATAAAGTTGATCAATGAACATAAATTGGTCTTATGGGTCTCACAAAAAAACATTTGGTCTCACGTGAACCCAACCTTATATATAGACTTGGGATCATATGAGACCAAAGCTTTTTCGTGAGACCCGTAAGACCAATTCTCAACCCTTGGATTGGATCTACAATCTCAACATTCTTAATCACAAAATTGCCACGAGATTTCTCAATAATTACAAAAATTGTCACCGTACAACTTTAGACCATTAAATCATTAGCTTATAAAGTTGATCAATGAACATAAATTGGTCTCATGGGTCTCACGAAAAACTTTTGGTCTCACGTGAACCCAACCCTATATATACACGAAAAACCCTTGGTCTCACGAAAAACCTTTGGTCTCACGTGAACTCAATCCTATATATACACGAAAAACCCTTGGCCTCACGAAAAACCCTTGGTCTCATAATGAATGAACTATTGTTCACAAACTGTTGATATTGTGTTCATATGTACACTAGTTGCATATCTCAACATTGGCTTTCTCCTGAATGTTCATAATGAAGGAACTATTGTTCACAAACTGTTCATATTGTGTTAATACTTGTTCTTTTTATTTATTTACTTTCGTGTAACAACTATTCTTATTATATTCATATTGTGTTCATAAATGTTATACAGTCCAAGTTCATATATATGTCAATTTTTGTTCGTATTTGACATAATGGTTCATATATATATATATATATATATGTGTGTGTGTGTGTGTGTGTGTGTGTATGTGTTCATATGGTTCTTACATTAACAAAAACAAATTAATAAAAATAATGAGATTTTTTGATTTTGTAACTCCCAATTAATGATACGGGAGTTATATAAAAAAGAAAATCACCTAAATACCTTTTTCCCTTGTTCACATATGTTCTTTTAACTTGTAAATTTAAAAATTTAATTTTTTATCATGATTAGTCACAACCCTTTATTGTAAGAATCAATGACCAAGATTGGTTAACATAGTTAACACAAAAATCGTGGTTAGTATTTGAACCAAGCTCTCTCTCTCTCTCTCTCTTTATATATATATATATAKAGAGAGAGAGAGAGAGAAAGAGAGAGAGAGAGAGAGAGAGCGAGAGAAAGCGAGCTTGGTTCAAATACTAACCGAGAATTTTGTGTTAACCATACTAACAAAGCCTAACCAATCATATTTCATCTTTACTTTATGTTCAAATGTAACTCATATATTAAATACAAGGGTAATTAGGTAATTTGACCTTTATGTAACCCTCTAATAATTAAATGGGAGTTACAAATCTTAAAGATCTCACTAATTGATTATGATGTAATTCTGAATTTTATCTTCATACGTGTTCATGATCGTAATTTTCAAGTGATGTTCTACATATAATGATATTGTTTTTGTAAGTGTAAAAGATTTTCGTATCGTCCGAGTAATATGGATAATCCTATTGTAAAACATATTGACAACAATATAAACGACAAAGTTAAAATCGTCTACGACTACGGTAAGAATTCAAATTTCGATAATGAAGAAGATGATCAAAGCGTTCCTATTGGTAAATGATTAGTATGACATTTGAATTCGTTTAAATGAACACATATCAAATGCAATAGATGTTCATATCGATACATATGGACAATCACATCACATGAATATGAACAGTATCTGTGATTCATGTGAACACAAGCTTCGTAGGTGTTCATGTATATACAACAGAGTTGACTCCTGAATATATAGAAGATGTTCATACGGTTCACATGTTGTTCATATGTCTAATCTTTTTTGTTTGATGTGTTTTGATGATATACACAAGTTGTTCATATGTCTGACAACTCGTGTATCAAAGATAGATTACTTTTTACCTAAATACTCTTTGATATTTTGTTCACATATGTTAATTGAAAATATTAATTTAATAATTAATTTTTAAATATCATTAAATCACAACCGTTTATTATTCAAATTAACGGCCAAGATCGGTTAACAAAGTTAACACGATAATCTTGGTTAGTATTTGAACCAGCCCCGATATATATATTCTTTTATTTTCACGTTTAATTAGTTACTTTCTTCATTGGCATGCATATATACAGATTCCATATGCAAAGTGTGAAAGTGAAAGAAAGAGCATGGGAATTGATCACAACATACACCTTTATTTTATGTAGTATATATTCATGAATATATGTTGATGAATCGTTTTTTCAAGTTTAATTCAGGTACTCGTTATTAGAATAAGGGATAAATTTTGAATCTATTAAGTTGTCTGTAATCATTAATCTGTTTTGATAAATTCAGATAAATTGTTGTTTGATATTTGTCCTGAATAAATAGTCTGAACAACAAAAGTTACAATTTTCACTTTATGTCGACACAAGCGTTAAAAGAAAATAAATTGTTTGATAAATATTTAAAATGACAAAAAAAAAACTAAAATAATATTAATTATTGAAAATAACATAAATAATATGAATTCAACGAGTTCATAAAACAATACTTAATAACTTAAAATATATGTAAAATAATAAAATGTTATTGTTTGATAATAAATTTTAATTTATGCGTGTTGGTAAACTATTTTTTTTGGGACGTGATTAAAATCGTAGGACGGTAATTTTGGAAAACATTCTCATTTAATGCATTAAGATATGATAGGCTAACTTAACATGTTAAGTCAATCTTTTAGTATTAAGTAAAAATCAAACACGTTAATATAACTTAATTAATTTAACTAACCGCTCATTAAACTTATTAAGTTGAAAACAACAGTAACCAAGCCTCGTCAAAATCATTAGCCAAATCTGTTTTGCCATCTCAATTAATTAACTCATCGATCCAATTCCTACTCCAAAAATTTATTTCAATCCCAAAAGATATCTGGATTAATTTATAGCGATAACGAGAAGATGAAACGATTTCATTATATAAAACCCCGAATCACATTAGGGTTCTTCTCCAAAAATCGACAAGCTTAAGGATATGAATCATTGATCAGTTGAACTAAAGTTTGTTATCCAACTGATCAGACCAACACGTTTATAGAATAACGAAATCATGAAAAAGCGTATATAAAAAAAAGATACAAACTTCAAATGGACATAACTTTTGATTGAAGATCTTAATGAGCTAATACGTAATGGGTTTGTTATTCGTTAACAGGCTAGCAAACCCTTTGCAAGGTTGTTAACTAGGGTCTCATGAAATTAGCTGAGGTCTGTTCAAGGCGCAAACTGGTCCTAACATTTACGGTTATGCAAAAAAAAATACAAACCAACTTTATAAAAAAAAAACACCTATGAAATAAGTATATAAATAAACTCAGCATATCCCACTTTAAAATTGGACCTCGGAAATATACACAGATCTGACCAGATCTACCAAAAATGGTATAACTCTTAACTGTTGAGGTTTTGTGCTAGTAATTTCATCACAAGTGCCCGGCTCCATATCCACAATGATACTAATCACAAAGGGCTTCGTGCGCAAACATTCTTGTACGCTAGGTCCGAAATCACAGGATCCAAAGGGCCGCGAAAATATGTTCATCAACTAAATTACTATAAAAGACGATGCGTCTGTTTCAAATACAGCTTTTTCTACATAAAATTACAAAATTTATGCTGCTCATGGCTACAGCTTAACTTTCTCATCTTGTTTTCCGCATTAGAATAAGCAACCTTAATGAATATCGTATGGTGACAAATGCACAATCCCTTCGGCTAACGCTACATGTAAAGATTTAGTGTCACCTGAATGCGAGAAACAGATGTTTTGCTTATTTCTTTACCATTGCATCAGGAACCGATAAGATGGTATTCATGTCCTCGTAATACTGCCAGCTTCTCTCGCTTTCAGGCTCATTCTTACTTTCCTGTCAAAAACAAGAACGGTGGCTGCATGAGTGACCGAACTAAACATTAAGAACATGAAGAATTGGAATTTACTTGCATATATCGCACACCATCTATAGCCAAAACGATGGGTTCTAATACCACTTGTCCCATTAAACGTCAAAAATCAAATCAAATGAACCCATTATATTCCACCTAGAAGTGGGATTGGGGTATGATGTATGCAAATCTGACCTCTACCCCAAAGAGTAGAGCAGTTGTATCCATGAAAAAACCAAAATATCGAAGCTCTTCTTTCCACATACATGCATTCTCTATTCCATGGGTCCCATCTTTAGCACACATAACCAATAAACGAAAAGTAAAGTGATAAAAACGAATGAAACTAATCTCGTTTACATTTTTCTTTTACAGTGTGTTTGGTAAGCGGATGGGACTGGATTACACTGGATAGGAGTGAGATAGGCAGGTGAAATAATTATGGAAGGCTTTAGAGTTTTAATTCAGCGTAGGTAGTTTAAGAATTTACCAATCTTGTCTCATCTCCTGATTTTTGTTCCACATATTTCAGTGGTACAAAAAAATGCATTTTTATCCCACTCAATCTTGTATTATCCCAATCTAATATCGTGCCAAACGTGGGACAATTTTTGTTTTGTTTTGTATATCCTGCATACCAAACACACCCTAATATTGTTGATATGGAAAACAAACCTCGTATTTTTGGATCAGTGATGCCCATAAGGATTTACATTGGCTTGGGCTTCGACTAGACCCCTCATTGGAAAGGTTAACGGAAATCTCTTCCCAAAGTGCCATTCGTCCCTTGACAACTTGGAATCTACTATTCAGCTCCCCACGAAATTCAATAAGTTTCTTAACCTCTTCTGGTTTCCATCTGTTTCTTTTCACAGGCTTCTTTGTATTAGAACCCTTGCTACCATCTTCTGATTCACCAACTGATTCGGGTTTCGTGTTTGCTTTACTTAAATCGTGCGATAATTCAGAATTAGGAACAGAACTCTCTGCTGAGTCGGAAGGAGTTGCAATTTCTTCCTTAGATAACATTCCGTCATCATTGGTCGCAGCACCTGTACAAAATATATATCGTAAATAATACTCCACACATGTAAATGCATGAGCAGGTATTCTCTTAAAATCCCCTTCATCCAATTTTACACTTGCTTACAAATAAGACACAAGAACTATACTTCAAATCACCACACAACACAACTTAAATAAAACAATAAAATCAACTGTAATAATACTTGAAGTTGTACAGATCTTTTTTGATGGTGTTGAGAGTTCGGCAAATTCTAATTATTTAAGAAATAAAAAACAAAATATGAGTATATAAGTAATTTTACCTTATGATTTGATGATCAATTTCGTTGCATCTAATATACCATACTGATTATTTGACCGTAAGTAGAAGCAGATAACGAGCATGAGTTACTGAGTTTGTTTGGTTTAGTTTAGAAGTAGATAATCAATTTGAGAGAACAAATCCAAACACCCCCAATGTTTTGTAAGCAAAACATGAAAAAATATACTGGGAAACTAAACCAAATGGCATATGATTTAACGAGTAAGCTAAAACCTTTAATTTCATGTCGGCCCATTGAGAGATCAAGACTTTTGCTTTCTTGAATCTTTGTTGTCCATTTCTTTTTTGGACTTCCATCCACCGTTTTCGCCAAAGGTATCTCAAAACCATGGTGGACACCAGACAGCTTTCCGTTAATTTCGTCAGCAAGGACAGCAGCCGGGTTTTCAACAGCATGGGTGATGACTTCTGGCCTCTTACCACTATACTTTCTTACCATTTTCCTTAAAAGCTCCGAAACAATTCTTTCGATATGAGGTAAGGGACTTTTGACTGAACAACTTGATAGCGCAGCATGTGCAGCACTATGAAGAGCATCTAGAAGTTTCCCATCATCAAGCCATAAGCAACGTGTAGTTATTCTTATTTTTCCTTTTATGGTTTCTTTAAATGCACTCTCTGTAGCTTGAGGCCGCATGATTTCAATGCTGAAAAGGGAACATGATGAGAGTTGATGGCTTGTTAGAAATGTGAAATCAAGTCTCTTCAGAGTTGTTGCGTATGTTAAGGAATGTGAAATCAAGTGTCCTGAGAGTTGAGATGTTTTAACCTCACAACTATTATTCCGTCTGATGCTATTCTCACCCTCTCGTCAACACAAAGATCGGTAGCTGTACCAAACGCTTTGTCACCATCACTGTACATCAACTGCAGTTGTGAGATGTAGTTCCGTGAGTGTTGATAACATTAGAGACTGTATGTGTGCATATACATATAGATACGTATACATACACAGAGAGAGAGAGAGAGAGAGAGAGGAGAACCTGCAAATTTTCTTTTCCAAGGGATATGAAACCATTAGATAAAACTCTTCTGTTCCTCAAATGAGAAACCCCAAGCATTTCTCCATTCTTTATGACCTGTTGTTAATACAAAATTAGCATGTGCTAATGTTTCGAAAAAAACATAGTATTTCACAAGTAGCAGTTACTTACAACAGTGTGATGAATTCCAGTGGATTTCCCGAGCAATTCATGTTCTTTGAGGAATAAGAGCTCTCCGTGAATGGGTAAAAAATGTTGTGGCTTTACGATCCTCAGCACTTCTTCCTAAGAAATGAAATTCATATTTGAATGGTTACACATTGCACCAAAAAATGGGGAAGATGACAAGGATGAAAATCAAGCTACACTCCAAACCCCAAGGGAGTATCTACAATTTCTCTCTGTTTTGGGAGTCCAAATTAGGTTCAAAACTAATTTAACCAATGGAATCTACACTTTCAGCCAATATCCTATGGAAGTATGGATGTAGGCAATTGCTAAATCAGGTAAATACCATGTTCAATTTCTGTAACTTGTGATATAGATTTTGTTAGTGCGACTATTTATCAGTGGAAGGGCAGTGATGTATGCAGCTGAGGCATCCTAACAGACCAGTAGACTTGAACCTTCTCCCGAAGTTACGGGGCTATTTTGCCGAGTTCCTTATAACAAAGTGACCATCCAAAGATAAATGTAGAAATACAAACACATGAAGATTGGGAAAGAAAAGAAGCTTTCCCCCTCCAAAAACAACAAACATAGATCAGTACCATTCCATCTTTTTGGCCATTTGACATTTCCATTTTGTGGGGCTTATTTATATGGTGGGAGTAGAAATGACTTAGTCCCAAATTTAAAGCAAGAAGAAACAAGATATAAACAAATAGAACCTAAGATCGATAGAAACTATAAATTTTTCTTCTTTTTTCGGTTCCTAACTGTTTGAGAAATATGTTTGAGAATATGGTGATAGTAACATACATATTCAAAGAACAAAGAAACGACTGCACTACAAGAGAAATCTTACCAATTCTTCACGACAGGCATGACCAGATGTGTGTAGTTGCTCCTTTTTACCCATTACTATTGTCGGTCCAATCTCTGATAACCGATTAAACATTTTCATCACTCGAGATTCATTACCAGGGATCACCTATAGATAATACAGAAAGGACATCACATCATGATCATACACAACTAGCTATTTGAATTATTACAATAAATATTAATAAAATGAGCGTGATAATTACCTTGGCAGAATACAAAATTACGTCTTCTTTGCTCAACTTGAAAAAATGACTACTTCCATATGATGCAAGGTTAAGTGCAGCACGTGGTTCTGCCTGACACAAGCAAACACAATCACAGCAATTATGAAGTTGAGAATTACAAAATCATTTCACTTTCCTGTTGCTCCAATAATTGCAACTTACTTGAGAGCCCGTAGTGACAATTAGCAAGTCTTTTGGAGCATAATCATTAATGTCTTCAACTTTCACCTATACAATATATACAGCATCAATAATGAAAAGAAAAGCTGAATGCTTTAACAAACAACCACAAAAGATAAGTTCAGGTCAAGGTCATTACAAGAGTCGAAGGATCAATTGGTGCCTTTCCATCTTTCCATGCAGCATCAAGGTATGTCCTTAAAGACATCCCAACAAATACCTGAAATAAAATGGCATCATCATCCCATCCAACAAAAGGTGTCTAGTGATTGACTCTCGAACCATTGTACTTGGTTTCTTTTAGTAAACCGCCCATCTATCTCGTAAAAATTTAAATTTGTAATAATGAGCAGTTGTGGATTAATCTTAGAAATATATATGACATACCAACTTCCTGCCAGTTAAATCAGCTGCAGCTTTCACACTTCCAAGCCGATGGATATTTGATGAAAACTGAGTGGTAATAACCCTTCCTTTTGCAGCTGATATATGTCGTAGTAGTGAATCTGCTACAACGGTTTCACTAAGTGTCCTTCCAGGTGAGAGTATGTTTGTTGAATCACTCATCATCTATAAGGCATACAAATGCAACATAGTTTTATATATTCTCATTCCTCTAGCTGAATAAAGAATTTAATTAATTCCTCCGTTCCATACGAATTACAACAATCACCATTTATCAATAGTCATTACCAATTTGGGTCCAGAAGATACTTTGTTTGGTGAAAAATGGTATTTTAGACAGTTGGCTAGATATCAAACATTTTTCTTAAACTGTATCCAATCAAACATTGCAATTTTCGTACGACAAAGGAAGTAAAATGTAAACATAGGGTACTGACAAAAGATTATAATATGTAGAAGGAATTTGAAAATGCAAAATAAAGCAGCACATCAAGATTACTAGTTTTCACAAACTCCAGTAGATTATTCTAAGTCCCTTTTCAGAGTCAAAAAATTGTAGACACTTACCAAAGTTACTCCTTCTTTTGAGAGTTGTTCTAAACCTTCACGGTCAAAAACTTGTCCATCCAATGGTGACTCATCAATCTGTTGAATGTGAAGTTCTTCTACATATGTTAAAAAATGATCAAGCCCAAGGCTTAACATAAGAAACTAAAGACGTACCTTCCAGTCCCCGGTATGAAGAATAATACCATCGGAGCAGCGAAGAACCAATCCAGAACAATCAGGAATAGAATGGGTGACCCTAATAGGCTCTATCTCAAATGGTCCAGCAACAAATTTCTTTTTTGTTTTAAATGTTTTAAGCCTAGATGGCACAAATATCCCGGATTCCTTCAAACGCTTCTTAATGAGCTGCTCAAAGAAAAGAAAAATCTTATGGGTAAATAGTAATATAAAATAGAAGAAAAAAAGAAGTCGAGAAAAAGACATTCAGACCTCCATTGTAAAGGATGATGCAAATATCGGAGTACGTAAATCCAAAGCTGGTATAACCTGGTTAAACAGCAGTGAAATAGTGAGAACTAAATGTAAAAGAAAATAATCGCATAAAATAAAATCATAAAAAAAGGTGAAAAGAATATTGTAAGCAATCACTACACAAATATTCTGTAGCGAGCACCAAATGTTCATGATGTAAAACAAGCATTTTCACCGTGTTGGACTGGCTTAAGTGGTTGGGACTTGCTCAGAATAACAGAGATCTTGAGTTCAAATCTTACACTTTGAGTATTTCTGATAATTTATCAACGGTGTGTTGATTGACTAGCAACAAAAAAGTCTAACCCCTCGAGTCCGGTTCCTGGCCTTCTGAAAAAGCACATCTTTCTCACATGTTTCAACTATTTCCCTTAGGATTTGAGTGACTGCCCTTGAAAATCTGTGCAGTGATTACTTACCATTTACTCACCGATTAAAAAATCAATAGACAAATCAAAATGTTTCGCTTTTCAAGGAGCAATACATTTTGAGATTCGATATAGGAAATTGATGAGCCGAAAAAAGGTATACTGTTCTGAGGGTAGACATTCACCGTCCCATAACCCTAAATGGTAGAAAATACCGTGGGTCCGTTCCAGAAAGGTTTCACTTTATACTTCCAAATTATTGTTTCTTCTTTTCTCAAATTAAGAAAACTTATATCATCATTCAAAGTTCTGTAATATGAATATATCCTCTAGAATGCATATAGTAAAACCATATTCCACAACTACAACACTATAATATTGTTACGAGACTGCCAAAAGTTTTCAACAACTGAAAACGCCATCATCTCAGAATGAAGCCATAGCTGATAGTCTGCTGCCAAGAAATGTTTTTAAGAAGCGGAATAGAAACTTTACCCAAGGCAACGCACCAATGTGATCTTCATGCCCATGTGTTATAACAACCGCTTCAATTTTATGGCTCCACTTCTTTATAAATGTGGTGTCTGGTATAATTTTCTGAACACCGAGATCCTCATGGCTGAAATGAATACATGTGTATTAAGATCGATCCATCACAATGAGAAGAAAGTACATTACTAAACACACATTGTTGATCAGCAATTTAGCAGATAAATCTAGTACAATTACTAATATGTCTGATTTCCAAAAGATAACCAAGTATTGGATGCTTATGGTTATTGGGTAATCCAGAAAAACCCTAGAAAGAATATTGATATACGAACAAATTATGTTGTGATTCCTTTAAAATGATAAAGCATAGACACAAAAGATGAGCCGTGGACAGATTCCTAAACAAAGCATACCGAAACGATTTACCAAAACTTACTCTGGGAACATGACACCAGCATCAATCAGAATATAACGATCATAATTCCCAACAAGCATGCAATTCATTCCAATTTCTCCTAGACCACCAATTGGAAGAACACGAAGAGGTGGGCCATTAGACCCCTCATAGAACTTCTCCATTTTGCGTTGCACAGAGTCTTCCATGCTCTTCCCAGGCCCTTCCAATCTTCCAGAACGCTTATGGCTTACTCTAGATCCATGAGTACCTAAAATGCGATCAATAATGACAATAGAACAATAGACAAGGTGGTTTCAGTAAGCAATGATAAACAGCTGTCATATTCTTGACAGAAACAACAAGAACTATGATGCATAACATGCTTGACAGCAAAAACAAAAATAGAAGATATACAAATGAAGGCAGACCAAACAAATGAACCAAGAAGGGTAATATGCAGTGCATGTAGACAGTGATAAGATTATTAGATGCACTTTTGATACTTGCCTTAATTCTCTATTATTCAGTGTAAAGCAAACCCAAAGTCTACTTTGGGTATTCATCAGCTTCATACAGAACCCTGTTTTCAGGAAAGAAATTTAATCTTGTAGGGTCCACAAGCAAGATAATAGATTACATCTACTTGCAATTAGCCTAGAAGAAGCAAGAATATAACTTTTTTAACTGTCTAAACATCATTTTTCTTATGACAACGAAAATTCAATTAGCACACAATCTACACAGACGAAACAATACCAGCATATACCCTAGATCCCCACTTGGCTAATCTTCTCTGGTATAGACAACACAAAACAGAATCCAAAGTGCATTCGGCCTAGCGGTATTGTAGTCCTTGACCTTCTAGAAGGTTAAGGGTTCAAACCTCACCAACGGTGAGATGGGTGTGTGAGTTTATTTGTTGCATTTGCCGTATATAAATATTATATATACTTCAAAAAAAAAACACACAAAACATACAAAATTGCCTAATTTAGTTCCACATTACTATCAAGTGAACAAATGGGTATTAGAGAAAAATCCATAAAATATCATTGTTCCAATAAGAAAAGATTTAAGAAAAAACATGAAATTATATTAACCTGTAAAGGATGGAAGGGGCATAGAGCAAGAAACGGGAAGCTTGGAAGTGTTGGGTTGCCACCAGAGCCTGTGATGACAAGGTGATATAGCGCTGAATCCGGCCATTGCCATTTTTGTGGCGAATCCAGGATTCTGAAGCAGAGTATGCACTATCCAATGTCTGTAACAAAATAAGGCCCTACAAAACAGAACCATACAATTCAAAATAAGAATGAATCATTTAAAATAATTAGTTATCTGAAACATAAATTAGCTAGGGGCTGAGTCATGACTTTCAGACTTAGGGGTGTGTTTGGTTGGATGAAATGAAGTGATAAACGAAAGGAATGGAATGGACAAAGTGACCATATTGGGTCATTACCATTCTATTGTTTTGTTTGGTTGAGTAATGGGATAAGTCATTAATGCAAGTGGTTTGGTACATAGGAAACAGTATGTGAACGGAATGAAATGATCGTACAGTAACAAAAATGCGCTATGTAAAATGCATTTACTATAAATTTAACAACACTATCCAGTTAAAAAATGTATGTGTTCTATTGCAATAAAGACAAGTTTAATAAATAAACAACTACAATTATCATAATTACTACTGAGGCACTGATAGATAAATAAATAGATTAACGGTCCACAGGAGCCGTGTCTCACTAACTCAATAAAAAATTGCAAAAAATAACGATTGTTTATATTAATAATAAACATAATGCTCACTACTTTAGAAGACGTACATAACCAAAGTACAACAATCCAACTAAAAGTACTTGCCTCTTTGAGGTAGCTTGATTCATATGGTTTCTTCTAATGAAGCAGCCAAATCTTAATTAGACATAAGATCTATCAAAGACATGGTTTGTAAAATTCTTAACTAATTAACATTCCTATTACTAGAAACATGAGAGAGAATATGCCATTTTTGGAATATTAATATTCACCACATAAAAATTCTCACTTCAAGACACTAGCCAGTGAAAACGGGAACATTAAGCTGAATTCAGATACGGAAAGCTGGATGTCCTAAGGCTTGTAGCACATTTTGAGATAAAAGGAAAACCAGAACCATAGGAACTGAAATATTTGCGAGAACAGTTGTTGCTATAGAAGTGCCAAACCAACATATACTAGCATGCAAATTACTGCTACACCCTCCCCCCCTCTCTAATACATGCTCAAAACCACAAAAGGCATCACAAATAGACAAAAATACTCTTAACATGTCCTAATTGCACTACCTTTTGGGAACCAACAAGACCATATCAAAATATTATATGCATATCTATCTACTATAAGTGTGTGTGCATACCACCCATAGGTGGGGAATGCTTGCTTGCTTGCTTGCATGTGTTTTGTGGACATTTAGAATTGCATATACTTATTGAACATGAATTTGAAGCACAAACATCACCTAAAGAGGTCTTGTAGTCTTTGAGCAATGATTTAGGATTAATGACTTAGCATATTAATAATTTTAATTGGGTTTATCAAATTAACAAGGGGTTGTTTAGTTTCTCATACCTTCTATATGTTGCACTGTACTTAATTCTTTTTATGTTTCACACTAAGGGGCCGTTTACTAAACGCTTACCCGGTAAGTACTTACCGGGTAATTTTTCTCACCGGATGAACATGGTAAGGGCCAAGAATCTTACCCGGTTAGAGCGATGATAAGGATAGAGAGTCTTACCCTGTAAGTGAGGGGGACGACTCTTACTCTGGTAAGCGCTTACCAGGTAAATTGTTGTATGAGATAAGTTTTGATGTACTACAATCTTACCCAATAAAATAAAATTATAGTGTTGACTCCTAACATTAAGCACTTACCGGGTAAGCATCTAGGTAAACGGCCCCTAACTAGTCTTAATTTTTCATGTCAAAAACCGTTGTTTCAATTTCTTCAAAATATTCCCAAACTTTTTGATAAGCTTTCTGAAACCCTCAGGCTAAAACTTTTTCGCACACACCTTTTCCCAAGCTGGAAGTCCAGACAATCGTTTCTACTCTTTGGGTAGAGGACATGTCTGCGCACATCCACCAAAACCTATCTCCAAGTGAGACATGTTGGGTTCGTAACTGGGTTTATCAAATACAATATGTGCAGAAGAATTATCCTCCTTCCATAGATATACATGTTAGATACTATATATCAATTTGTTGTGGGGGGGATGCATTTTTCAAAATCTTGTTGTTTTTGCTCTAGGTGTAACAAGTTGCTAAGCGGAAGTTTGGTTAAAGACATTTTATCAAACACACAGCGTCCATGCCAAACTGTCACTTACATAAGTTCAATAACACAATTTGACCAAATACTTGAGCATCTTCAACAAACTCATATTTTAACATATTCAAGCTTCAAGATTTACAAACCAAAGCATGAATAAGAACCCTAAAACAAAACAAAGAATTGAACAATGGGGAAAACACCTGATGGTGTAAATTTTTTGAAACTATTCAACAACAATAACATGTGCAATTGGACATGAAATCTGCAAAAACAAATGAGCCTACCTGGAGATGCAGAAAATGAATCAAAACTTCAAAAGATTGATGAACTCTGCATAAAACTATAAATTGTCACCGGGTAAGAATCAGATTATGCAAGAGATTTTACCAGCTTCTTCAACTTCAAGTGAAAAGTTATCCATCAGCCAAGCGAGAGTCTGTCTAGTGGCTAAGGCGCTGTGCCGTGGGCCTTGTTTTGGACTTTTGGTATCAACTTAATTAAACTTTGGGCTAACGTTAATGGGCTTATTATGCAATTTATTTTATTTACTTTTTGAAAATTACAAGGAGTGCCGGCCAAAAACCGGTCCAAAGCCGGTCCCAAGATTTCTCATAACCTGTCATAACCGGTCCTGATTCCGTTCAAAAAAGTTGAGTCCGGTCAAACTTTATTGTAACCGGTTATGTTTAATACATTATAAAATTTGTAATTGGGTCACTCAAATACACTTTAAAATACGTTTATTATAATTAAAATTATATTGTCTTACAAAATATAGCGAGAAACCGATAATTATGAATTTTTTTTGCGTTTTTTGCGAATCAAGAACTTGGTATGTAAATCCCTCAACTAAGACACTTATATATAGTGTTGAAAAAGCAAAAAAAAAATGCCAAAAAACAGCTACATTTAAAAAAAATAGTTACGTTTTTTAAAAATCGGTCCGAGCTAGGCCATAACCGGTCCCAGTCCCAATCAATCCCGGTCCCACGAAACACCCCAAATCCATAACCGGTCCCAGATTTCGGTCTTATAGCCGGTTCTTACCAGTCTCGGGCGGGGCCGGTCCTTGGACGGTCCCGGACCGGTTTGGCCATCACTAATTAATTGATTTTCTAAAATAACTGATTAAAAGATAATTTTTTTATTTTATTCTTTAATTATATTATTAAAATATTATTTCTTTATTATAAAAAAATTTCAAGATTTTTTTATTGGTTGGTATGAAGAATAAAATATAATTTATCTTTTTTAAATAATTATTTTTTAAGAATTCTTCCAAAATTAAAGAATCTCATCATCTTTTCCCAACTTTTTATATTATGGAGAATCTATTGGAGATACAGTTAAAATTTGATTGTTAGAATGGATTCTACTACTTATGTAATTTGATTCATAAAATAAAAAATGTTTAAAATATAATTAGTTTGTTATGACAAAATCATTGGAGTTTTTAAATGTGCGTTTATATGTAAATTAAAACAAAATTAGAACTTATCGGTTCATGTTTCGTGTGCCATTAAGATTGGAACGCGATATATTTTCTACCCCACCAAAACAAATGGAATAAGCCTCTTATAATTCTTTCATCCATCTGATTCGCTCTCATCTATCCAGTCTTGTCAGATCGATGTAACAAAACTAATTGTATTTATAGAGTAAACTACAACCTTCCTTTCTTCAACGTCGTTGCCATGTTCTAGCAACTTGGACCAGTGGGGAACTTCTCAACCCTAATTTTTCGTATTCATCTTTCACCATAATCCTTACATCTTGTATGGTGTTACGTTCCTTTGAGTAGGCCATGGTGGTTGCGTTCAGAAGTGTAGGTATCACAAGATGGGACACAGGATTGAAAATGAGACGAAGAATAAGAGATAGTTATTTGGTGCTTGTTGTTTCCTTCATCTCCTCTTCATTTGTTCTTTCGGTTTCTTTTTGTCATCTGTGTTCGAGTTTTCACAAGGAAGGTTTGACTTTAGGGTTTAAGTTTGCATCTTGTTGGGTTTTTGTTATTCTGTTCACTATCTCTTTTTAATGTCTTTGATTTCTTATTTTATTGAGTTTGAATATTTTTTCAATCTTTCTAACAGATTTTCGATCAAGTTTTATTTATTTATTTATGTGAAGGTGGTTTACGAATGGTGTTATGGTGATGGTTTGATTTTGGTGAATGCTTATAATCATGACCAATTACAGACATAATAGATGATAAATGGAATGTATTTTTTCTTTCATCTTTTCGTTCAAAATCGTTCATCCATGTAATTACAACGTTTTTCAATTGTATTTAATGTAAAATCAATGGTTAATTATAATAAAAAAGCAAATACAACCATCCCAAAAACGAACCACTCATACAAGTTCTTGAATCTCGCTCTATTGCGAATCCCCTGGATCATAAGTCGTTTAAACACCAATAGATTTGAGTTATAACGATCAAAATATGAATAACAAGCTTAATTAACCTAAAATCCGATGAATTAAATTATGCTTGTAGGTTCTTTCGACCAACGAGGTATGCAACCTTTATTTGGCAAATTCTTCCCCATGCATATTTTTAAGGGCTTACAGTCCAAATGCTTACGTTACACGAAATGCCCTCATCAGTTCTAACTCTTATATATCTGTAGTTGGAATTTTGTGGACGTAACAATCACTTCAAGAAGCGGAAACAACAAATTCAATAGGGTTTTTAGCCTAGTTATATAATTTGGAAAACATCACATCAAATAGTTTATCTTTATCGCTTTCATATGATTTGTACAATTACCGTTGCTATAAACTTAAAAAGTCTTATTAAATACTTTATTAGGATGGTTAGACGTTCTTAACAGACTCATTTTGTTGAAGTGTAACGTTAATCTCTACCTTAACCTTTTGGATCAATACAATGAAAAATAACATAAAACTCGGATGTTTATAACAATGAACGATCAGATAAAATTCCATGAAATGATTTAAAACAATGAACGGTACTTCAAGCATATTGAACAAATCTCTTTACAATATAACGAGCTTAATTGCCTGAGTGATATACATGTTTGTTCATGACTTGAACAATAAGCTAGTGTCTTAATTGTTAAGCCACTAGACCAATATGTTTGCCATTAAGCCAATCTTTTTTGCCCATTGTAAACCTTTTTCAGCTTTGGAACAAATTGATCATTTTTCTACTTATCAATTCATACTTCATAAACGTCTTTATCCAGACGTCTTAATGATGCTGATGACTTTCTAACTTTCGTGTATGTAAGATAAGGTTTGGCAATGCAGCATCAACTAATTTACCATAAATGATGACACTTTTGCTTTGAATACAAGTTTTCTACACTAAATTAAAAAATTTATGCTGCTCAGGATTACCGTTAACTTTTATCATCCTAGTCTCCTGAACAGAAGAATAAGCAATCTCAGATATGAAGATTTTCAGTCACCTAAATGCAAGAAACAGATGTTGCTTAGGGGTTGTTTACTAAACACTTGCCTAGTAAGCGCTTACGGGTAAAATTCAACACTATCACTTAAATACCATGTAAGATTTTAGTCCACTAAAACGGCATCGTATGCAACAATTTACCCGGTAAGCGTTAACCGTGGTAAGATTCGCCATACTCACTTACCAAGTAAGACACTTGGTCCTTGCGTTGCTCTTACCGGATAAGATTGTTGGTCCCTATCATATTCATTTGGTAAGATAATGTAACTTGATAAGCGCTTACCCAAGTAAGCGTTTGATAAACGGCCTCTTAGTTTATATATATATATAGACTTGAGATCATGTGAGACCAAGAGTTTTTCATGAGACCCGTAAGACCAATTCTCAATCCTTGGATTAAATCTACAATCTGAACATTCATAATCAAAAAATTGTCACACGAGACTTCTGATAATCACAAAATTGTCACCGTGCAACTTTAAACCATTAGATCATTAGTTTATAAAGTTGATCAATGAACATAAATTGGTCTTACCGGTCTCACGAAAAACCTTGGTCTCACGTGAACCCAACCCATATATATATATTATACGGCAAAAATCTCATACAATACTCACCTTTGGTGAATCTTGAAGATGTTGCTTTGTTCTTGGATCATTTGTTTACCATTTCATCAGGAGCGGATAAGATGTTATCCATCTCCTCATAATATTGCCAGCTTCTCTTGCTTTCAGATTCATTCTTACTTTCCTGTCAAAACCAAGAATGACCATCTCGTGAGCGAGACACTACATATCAAGAACATGAAAAGATCGAAATTTACTTGCGTATACCACACACAAACTAAGCCAAACACGATGGATTCCAAGACCATTTTCCCATTTAATGTTAAAAATCAAGAAAATTGAGATGGAAAAAGCAAAATATTAATACTTCTCTTTCTATGTTGTAAATGAAACTTAGGTTTTTCGTTCAATATTCTGTGGGTCCAGTCTTTAGCTAAAATAGAACCAACAAACAGAAAGTAAAATGGTAAAACCAAACCAAACCAAACCAAACCAAACCAGGGTTTCACAGTATTCAGCCTCTCAACTATTTGAATAGAGGTCGTGCTACATACATCATATCCCATATCTCACCTCTCGGTGGGATATATACTGGTTTCGTCTGGTTTGGTTTATTATTTTTAAAATATATTTAACAAGACAAATACTGATAAAATAAGTTCATGCAAGATATCGTTCGTATGGAGAACAAACCTCGTATTTTTGAACCAGTGATGCCCATAAAGATTTACATTGGCCTGGGCTTCGACTAGACCCAGCTTCAGAAAGTTTAACGGATATCTCTTCCCAAAGTGCCATTCGTCCCTTCACCACTTGGAATCTACTATTCAGCTCCCCACGGAACTTGATAAGCTTCTTAATCTCATCTGGTTTCCATCGGTTTCTTCTCATAGGCTTGTTTGTTTTAGAACCCTTGCTACCATTTTCTGATTCATCAACAGACTCGGATTTTGTGTACGCTTTCCAGAAATCATCCGATGATTCGGAATCAGGAACAGAGCTTCCTGTTGAGTTGGAACTTGTTGCAATTTCTTCCTCAGATAACAATCTGTCATTGTTGATCACATCATCTGTTCAAAATAGAAACCATGACTAATTACACATAAACCACAAGACCAATGCTTCTAATCACCATAAAATACCACTTAAATGCAACAACGAGAATAAGATAATTGGAGCTGGTATGATTGAATAAAACTGATTATTTGACCCGAGGGGAAGTTTATTTAGGAACCATTAATAGTTTGAGAACCTAGGAACCAACTATTTCATAGATTAATCATGATGAACAACCCTGATATATTCATGAACATTATTGATCATGAACATCATGCATTTTCAATTTTCATAATGAATAATTCATGAATAGTTGGTTCCCAGATTCTCAAAATACTTACCTTTCCTATATGAACCTGCCCTATTGACCCGTAAATAATCACAAGTAGAAGTACCAAAAACTAAAACGGATTATTACGATTTGAGGTCGTAAAAATAAGATAATCACTTTCACAACACATAAAAACACCCAAAACATGAGGAAATATATGGGAAACAAAACCAAATGGCATACGATCCAACAAGAGTAAGCTAGGACCTTTAGTTTCATGCGGGCCCACTGAAACTAGATTTTTGCTTCCTTCTTGTATCTTAGTTCGCCGTTTCTTTTTTGAACTTCCATCCACCTTTTCCTCCAAAGGTATCTCAAAACCACCAGACAGCTTTTCACTAATTTCATTAGCAAGGACAGCAGCAGGGTTTTCGATAGCATGCGTGATGACTTCAGGCCTTTTGCCACTGTACTTTCTTACCATTTTCCTTAAAACCTCTGAAACAGTTCTTTCCAAGTGAGGCAAGGGACTTTTGACCGAACAACTAGATAGTGCAGCATGTGCAGCACTATGAAGAGCGTCTAAAAGTTTGCCATTGTCGAGCCATAAGCAGCGTGTAGTTATTCTTATTTTTCCTTTTAGGGTTTCTTTAAATACACTATCTGCAGATTGAGCTGCAGATTGAGGGCGCATGATTTCGATGCTGAAAAAGAGACATATGAGAGATTTAATGTGCATGTTAGGAACGTGAAATCAAGTGTCTTGAGGGTTGAGATGTTAACCTCACAACTATTATTCCATCTGACGCTATTCTCATCCTCTCGTCAACACAAAGGTCAGTAGATGTACCGAATGCTTTGTCACCATCACTATACATCAACTGCAGTTGTGGGATTTAATTCAGTGAGCCTTGACAACATTAGAGACTGTATGTGTATACACATAGATATGTATACATGCAAAAAGAAAAAAAAAAGGTAAATAAAGGGATGAATTAAAAAGTGCTTTAAGAAGAATTGAACTTGTGTCTAGTTGTATGCCTATGCCGTAACAACAGCTATGAACAATCTTTGGCAAAACCAAACTATATGTCTTATTACTGGAATCATTGCCTCCGCCACTGAACACGAAGAGACATCAGGAATGGATTCCTCTCTTAGACAACAATACTCTAAAAAGTCTATTAGCTTTGGCGGTGATTGTGCCGGTGGAGTGCTTGTTTGGGCTTTACATTGCTTCGCATTATAGGTGCTTAATCTTCTGGGTACAACCTCGGAAATCACATCTCGCGCCATGATTGGCATATCATTCCACTACACATCACAATTCATTTCAGTAAATAGAGTATCGTGTAATAACTCTTTCTTCAAACGGTTTTTCTATCTCCACAGGCAACTATTGACTACAACACATAGACAATGACTAAATCAATTCAAAAGTCCACACATTAATCAATAAAAAGACTCAAAAAAGTATTAACAGTCCGGCCATCAATATGATGAGCTACGAGTTTCTAGTCCTAAGTCCAGTTAGCCTTCTGAACTTTACTTAGTCCCGTTAACCGCTAACAGGGACAAGTACCGAAACTCATAACTCAAAATATCAATGGCCGGTTTGGTAATACTTTGACTTTTTTTATTAATTGATGTATGGACTGGTGAATACATTTCATCTTTGTCTGTGAGTTGTAGCCAATAGTTGTGAGGAGAAAAGGAAATACCATTTGAAGAAAAAAATATTACAAGATACTCCATTTATGAAAAATGAAATACAATGTATAATGGAACGATATGCCAATCATGGCGCGAACTAGGATGTGATTTCCAAGGTTGTACCAGGAAGAACAAGCGCCGATGTTTGAAGATGCTATAATTAGGAGCAACAAAAAGCCCCAACAAGCACTCCACCACCAAAAGCACGATCACTACCAAAACTAATCGACTTTTTAGGAGTACTAGAGTCTGGGTGAGGAACTCATTCCTGAGTGAGTGACTACTTACTCTCTACTGATGTCCCATTGTGTTAAGTGGCCAAGGTAATCATTCCAATGATATCAAATAGTAGAAAATAAGACATAATTTGGTTTGTTAAAGATTGTTATAAGTTGGTACAACATAGGCAAACAAATAGGCACAGGTTGAATTCTTCTCAGAGACAGTACGTATATATACATATAGATATGTATACACACACACACACATATATATATATATATATATATAGAGAGAGAGAGAGAGAGAGAGGAGAACCTGCAAATTCTCTTTACCCAGGGCTATAAAACCATTAGACAACACTCTTCTGTTCCTCAAATGAGAAACCCCAAGCATTTCTCCGTTCTTTATGACCTGTTGATAATACAAAATTAGCATCTTACTTCAAGAAACAGCAGTAACCAGAAACGTATTTGGTCTCGTCCCACCAAAAGCACAACAGTTTCCTTCTCGAGATGTCTCAAGAAAAAGTGTAACATTCACAAGCTAGTAATTTTTTGGAAACTTAAGTGACATTTTTGTGGTTTTGTTTTCAAGTGCATTTATATAATATTCCTACAGTTGAAGGTGACATAAGCATTGATTTTTATTACAAGTGAAAATATATCCAGGCTACACCACAACTAGGATAACAACAAGCATGCAAAAATTTCAATGACATCATCAGGAAGGGAAGATCAGATCAGCCTGAATATGATGAATGTAAGAGGCCAATAACATACCATCTTCTTTTTCTCCAAATATTTCACCATGGTCTTTGCTACTATTAGTAACTAAATTTGTTTTTAAAGGACAATGGGATCCCACATGAATGTTCAAACTTGAGGCCATAAGCTCCTCCCCAAGCCACATAGCGTGGATGGTGTTTTAAGATTGTTACATCTTGTCGAGGTAAAACATGAATAACAATAGTGTTGACATAAATTGGGAAGAATTCATGCCGAAATCAATAGTTAGGGAAACATGGTTATAGACACACATACAGAATATATGCATAACCCAGAGTCAAGGAGCAGTTTCATCAAGTACATCCCCAAGATCTTCTAAACATGTTCCATTTAATATCTTATGCTTCTCATCAAACAAGAATACCGTCATGTATTATGGGTCTCGTGGAGCAGCAATCTTGAAGTCGTCTATATATATTTTCTATAGCCATATCTTTTTGTACCTTTTCTTACCATAATATCTTTTCTTATTATATTCATGCAAAATACAAAATCTGCCAAAACAAGATGCTTCACTCCTATAACCGCAGTCATAGCAAATCTATGGAGTGACTAAAGACTTGTGTAGAAGGGTGCAAAACAAAAAGGCAGTCTCCGCAGTTTACGTATAAACTTCTGATAATTGGTTGGTCACAAGTAGCAATTACTTACAGCAGTGTGATGAATTCCAGTGGATCTTCCGAGCAATTCATGTTCTTTGAGGAATAAGAGTTCCCCATGGATGGGTAAAAAATGTTGTGGCTTTACAATCCTCAGCACTTCTTCCTACAAAATGAAACTCATATTCAAATTGTTTCCACTTTCCACCAAAAAGTAGGGAAGAAGAAAAGGATGAAAATCGCATAAAAGACCTTTGGCCTAGCGGTATCCGGACCACTGGTAAAAGTTCAGCCTCCCGGGAGGTCAAGAGTTCAAACCTCACCAAAGGTGAGGAGGGTGTGTGAGTTCATTTGCCGTATATAAATATTATTACTTCCCAAAAAAAGGACGAAGATCAAGATATACTCAAGTCTCAAAAACCAATGATATCATCTACAATTTCTCTCATGTTCTTGGTGTCCAAATTAGTTAAAAAAAGTATTTATCCAATGAAATCTACACTTTCAGTAAATATTTGGATGTTCTCTGTTTTAGATATAGAGCATCATCTACTGATCTATACTGTAAACTGGTCTATGACTTCAGGATCAAACTTTGTAAGAAAACAGTAATGACAGTTAAGAATGCAGTTTTCCTGTCTTATTCTTTGTTTGTTTTGTTTTGTTTTAGGGGTTGTTCTTGCTGTATCTGTATTACAACAGAGTTCGCAAATCATAAAAAAATCTACCAACTCTCTGGACGTAGATAGATTGCTAAAGCAAGTAAATACCATGTTCCATTTTCTTTAACCTGTGATTAATTTTTCTTTGTGTGTGTGACTATCAATACCAACAACTGAAGTAGAAACACCATATAACATGAAGATTGGGATAAACTAAGATCCAAAAACAGCATAGGTATATCACTACAACTCTTAATTTGGCCATTTACTATTTACATGGTGTGAGTAGAAATAAAGATCTGACAACGGGTCCCAAGCTTGATAGAAGAAGAAACAAGATATAAACAAATAGAAGCTAAGATTGATAGAAGCTCCAAATTTTGCTTCCTTTTTCTGTGTAACCATGACAGAAATACGTTGAGACGGTGATAGTAACATACATATTTTAAAAAGAAACAAGCGACTACACTACAAGGAAAATCTTACCAATTCTTCACGATAGGCATGGCCCGATGTGTGTAGTTGCTCATTTTTACCCATTACTATTGTCGGTCCAATCTCTGATAAACGATTCAACATTTTCATCACTCGAGATTCATTACCAGGGATCACCTACAGATAACATACAGACGAGATGGCCTCACAATCATACAGCTAGCTATTTGAATTATTACAATAAATATTAATAAAATGAGTGAGATAATTACCTTAGCAGAATACAAAATAACGTCTTCTTTGCTCAACTTGAAAAAATGACTACTTCCATATGATGCAAGGTTAAGTGCAGCACGAGGTTCTGCCTGACACAAGCAAATATAGTTACAGCAACGTTGAAATTGAGCACTACAAAATCATTTCACTTTCCTTTTGTGCCGGTTATTGTAACTTACTTGAGAACCGGTAGTAACAATTAGCAAGTCTTTGGGAGCATAAGCGTCAATGTCTTCAACATTCACCTATACAATAGATAGGACATTAATAGTGAAAAGAAAATCTGGCTAATACGGTAAATAACAACACAAAGGATAACTTCAGGTCAAGGTTGTTACAAGAGTCGACGGATCAATCGGTGCCTTTCCATCTTTCCATGCAGCATCGAGGTATGTCCTTAGCGACATCCCAACAAATACCTGAAACAAAATGGCATCATCATCCCATCCAATGAAGGTATCTAGTGACTCACACAGTGACACTTGACCTTTTGATAGTAAAGAACCCATCTATCGCGTAAAATTGCAGCATAAAAGCACCATATCTTGTAACAATGAGCTGTTTTGGATTAACTTTGGAAATACAAATTAAAAAAATCCCTGCAAAGTGTAGTGTTTTTTTTTTTTTTGCTTTTTCCACTAGGATGCTGATTTGAAAAGTTAATCACTTTGTCCTGAAGTAAAAGAATTCTCAAGATCATAAGCTTGAAACAACATACCAACTTCCTGCCAGTTAAATCAGCTGCAGCTTTCACACTTCCAAGTCGATGGATATTTGATGAAAACTGAGTTGTAATAACCCTTCCTTTTGCAGCTGAAATATTCCGTAGTAGTGAATCTGCTACAACGGTTTCACTAAGTGTTCTTCCAGGTGAGAGCACGTTTGTTGAATCACTCATCATCTGAAAAACATACAAATGCAAAATAGTATTAAATATTATTGCTATCTGTGGTTGAATAATTAACTACTTCATCCCATGAATATTAACAATTATAATTTTGGAAAGTCCCAAGAAAATTGCAACTTTTCCTTGTTACTCAACTTTCAAAGCTAAATTACCCGTTTATCAATAGTCATCACTGATTAGGGTCCAGAAGAAGCTTTATTTTGTAAAAACTGGTCCTTGTAGACATTTGACTAGAAATCGAACATTTTTCTTAAATCATGTGTTCAATAAAACGTTGCAATTTTCATAGGACAAGAGAAGCAAAATGTGATATAAGACATTGGCAAAAGGGTCATATGCAGAAGAAAAAAGAACGCAATAACAAAGCAGAGCATAACATGGTAGGTGTTTGTGCAAATTAGCATTAAGATTACTAGTTTTAACAAACTCCTCTATGCAATAACCCCCCTTTTCAGAGTTTAAAATATAAAGGCACTTACCAAAGTTACTCCTTCTTTCGATAGTTGTTCTAGACCTTCACGGTCAAAAACTTGTCCATCTAGCGGTGACTCATCTATCTGTTGAGTGTGAAGTTAGAATATGATCAAGAACAAGGCATACACATAAGAAACTAAAGATGTACCTTCCAGTCACCAGTATGAAGAATAATACCATCGGAGCAGCGAAGAACCAATCCAGAACAATCAGGAATAGAATGGGTGACCCTAATAGGCTCTATCTCAAATGGTCCAGCAACAAATTTCCTCTTCGTTTTAAATGTTTTAAGCCTAGACGGCACAAATATCCCAGATTCCTTCAAACGCTTCTTAATGAGCTGCTCAAAGAAAAGAAAATCTCAACCAACCAAAACCCGATAATTTCTATGCATATGGGTAAATGCAAGTAAAAAAAATAGAAAAAAAGAAGTTCAAAAATAACAGATATAAACCTCCATCGTGAAGGATGATGCAAATATCGGAGTACGTTGATCCAAAGCTGGTATAACCTAATTAAACAGCAGTGAAATAGTGAGAACTAAATGAAAAAGAAAATAATTGCATATAAAATCATAAAAAAAGGTAAATAGGGTAAACAATCGCTAAACATGTATTCTGTAGCAAGCACATAATGTGCATGTTGTAAAACACACTTTTTCACCCGATTGGACTCACTTAAGTGGTTGGGACTTGCTCAGAACATCCAGAGATCATGAACTCAAATCTTACACTTGTGTATTCCCGATACTTTATCAGGAGTTCCCAATTGACTAGCAACAAAATGTTTTAACCCCTGAAGTGTGGTTCCTAGGTCTTCTAAAAAAGCACATTTTTAACATGTCACAACTATATCCCTTGGGATTTGAGTGACCACCCATGACAATTTGGGCAGTGATTACTTGCCATTTACTCACCCATTAAAAGATCAAGTAGAGGGAATAGAACAAAACCTTTTCTCATGGAACAAAACATTTGAGATTCAGTACCAGAAACTGATGGATAAACAACTGAACTATAACCATAAATGCTAAAAAAAATACAGCTTCAGAAAAGGTGTTTACCAAGGTTTTGTTATTTTCTACTCATAGAAATCATTGTCTTCTTTTCAAACAATTTTTTTATACCATCATGCAAAATTCTGTAATATGATTAGAAATTTGATCATCAGACAACATAGTTCTCCATTAAAATGCATATAGTAATATACTAAATTCCATGTGTAAACGACCATTTTATGAGACTGCCAGAAGGAAGTTTCCAACAGCTGAAAAACCAACATCTCAGAATGAAACCATAGATGCTACCAATATAATCAGACATAATTCCTTTTAACAAAAGTTCTTCAGAAGCAGAAATAGAAACTTTACCCAAGGCAACGCACCAATGTGATCTTCATGCCCATGTGTTATAACAACTGCTTCAATCTTATGACTCCACTTCTTTATAAATGTGGTATCTGGTATAATTTTCTGAACACCAAGTTCGTCATAGCTGAAACAAATTCATGTATATTAAGGTAAATCCATCACAATGAGAAGAAAGTAAAATTACTAAAACACGTTGTGTATCAGCAATTTAGCACACAAAGTTTAAAGAAGTTAAGACATAGTTAATATGTCTGATTTTCAATTAATAACCAAGAATCGGATGGTTATATAGCTGGTTATTGAGTAATCTAGAAACACCTAAGAAAATTTTTCATCGAACAAACAAAATTTTGTTGATTCCTTTTAATAAATGAAGCATGGGTACAAAATACTAGCGATAGACAGATTCCTAAACAAGGCACACCCGAACCATTTACCAAAACTTACTCTGGGAACATGACACCAGCATCAATCAGAATATAACGATCATAATTTCCAACAAGCATGCAGTTCATTCCAATTTCTCCTAGACCACCAATTGGAAGAACCCGAAGAGGTGGGCCATTAGACCCCTCGTAGAACTTCTCCATTTTGCGTTGCACAGAATCTTCCATGCTCTTTCCAGCCCCTTCCAGTCTTCCAGATCGTTTATGGCCTACTCTAGATCCACGAGTACCTAATATGTGGGCACAACAGAAAACCAACAGACAAGGTGGTTTCAATAAACAATGATAAACAGCTGTCATAGTCTTGACAGAAAAACCAATAACGAATACATATAGACATGAAACAAAAATAGGAGATAAATAAACCAATGTCAGAGAAACAAATGAACAAGAGGGGTAAATTTCGGTCTATGTAAAACCCTGTTTTGATGCTTGCCTGAATTATCTACTTGGGGTATTTATCAACATCATATAGAACCCTGTTTTCAGGAGAGAAATTCGATCATGTAGGGTGCACAAGCAAGATAATAAATCACATCTACTTGCAATTAGCCTGGCAGAAGCAAAAGATACCTTTTGCTTTTTACCCACCATCAGTTCTCTTATGATAGATCAAACTTCAATTAACACGCAGTATACACAGATGCAAGTATGCAACAACGTTGGCATATAGTTATACCCTAAATACCCACTATACTAATCTTCTCCAGTTAGGAAAACACATAGAACATTGAAAACTGCATAATTTTCTAATTTAGCTCCTCTTTACTGTCAATTGAACAAATGGGTATCAAAGAGAAATACATAAAATATCATTATTCCAACCAAAAAAGATTAAGAAAAATCTTGAAAATCTATTGACCTGTAAAGGATGGAGGAGGCATAGAGCAAGAAACGGGAAGCTTGGAAGTGTTTGGCCGCCACCAGAGCCTGTGATGACAATGTGATACAGCACTGAAAGCGGCCATTGCCATTTTTGTGGCAGATCCAGGATTCTGACAAAATTCAAAACAACAATGAATGGTCTACAAGTCTATAACAAATAAAACCCAGCAAAACAGAACCATACCATTCAAAATAAACTGAAGTTTTTTTAAAAAACAAAAATAGACTGCTGAAATTAATAGTTCAGAATATATACCCAATTTATCTATACAAAATGTCCTCTTCAAGTTTTTATACTCTGGAAATGATTTAGAATATCATCAAATAGAGAAATATGTTGCTTCTCTTAAATAGAAATGTGTACATGAACTTATCTACCATAAGGCATACTGCACATTCTGCTGGAGCGCTTGGAGATGCAGGACTAGGGTGGCAGACTATATGGGGGACCTGTGGCTAACATGGACAGGAGGAGGGGAGTTTGGAGAAGGTATGGGGACGAGAGAGGGGTAGAGAGGTGGCACTTGGGTTACTAGAGCCCTACATTACATAGAGGGTTGTTTTATTTTTTCCTATTTTTCATGTATTGTTTATGATAGTCTTGGTTTCCTACTGCTTTTACTGTACGTCAGTTTTATTTTTTCTTCCTGCCTTAGTAGTTTTAATTTTGCCACTTTGTGTTTCCTTGTTGTCTTATCTTATGTCACTCTAATGCGTCCCTGATCCCTTGTCCCTGCTGCTAGTTTGCGTACATCCTCCCCCCTCCCCCGGGAGACCCTACCTCAGTGTGGGATATATTGGGTTTCATTTGGTTTGATTTGGTTAAACATAATACCTTTATAAGTCTATACTTGCATAAGCAAAAAGAAAGAAAACGAACACACGAATTTTATATCGCCAAGGAAAAACACCCTTATCTCCTATCAGAACAATTCCCAATTCTCCCTTGCCGCATTTCACTCAAAGGGTTGAAGGGAGATAGTGCATCAAGCTGTTCGCAAGGGCCAACTTCACTTATGCAGAAGGCATTTATAATTACATACTTGATAAACTGCTTACAATAAATAATTAAACATAGAGCCATTAAGTGAATATGTAAACCCTACAGCTCAATATACAAATCAAGAATTAAAACTAAACTCCCTGATTCTTAAACAAAACACAAACATCTTATGATAGTCACATATTCATCAGAGTCCATATTCATAAGATATCATAACGCACATTAAATAAAAGCGATAAATAAATAACTACAATCATTATAGCACCACCGATAACCAAATAAATGAATCCATGTTTGCAAAAAGAACAATTTAAAAAATGTATTTCATAGGAGACGTATCTCATTAACTCAGCAAAAGAGATTACAAAAATATGTTCATTTTGATTTATAATAACATAATTTTCACTACTTAAAAGGACGTGGATAACCAAAGTACAACAACCTAACTCATATAAGAAAGCTGAATGTCTTAACTGCTTGTGCCATTTGGAGATACAATAAGCCACATCACTAGTTATATATGGTAGAGGCTACATATACATGGGAGGAATGCATTTATAAAGATCTTGTTTTTGTTCTAGGTGTAACAGGTGTCAGGTTGTGAAGTGAAGTTCGGCTAAGACATTTTATCGAACATGTAGCGTGCCAAATTGTCACGTACATATGTTCAATGAAAAAATTCGACCAAATACTTCAGCATCTTCAACTAACTCATATGTCATCTGCCTGCATCTGCTACTACAACAAACTCATATTTCAACATCTTCAAGCTTCAAAAATTACAAAGCAAAGAAAGAATAAGAACCCTAAAACAATTTTTCATAAAAAAGAAAGAAACAATGGGGAAAAACCTAATGGTGTAAAAACTTTGAAACTAGTCAACCACATACAACAACAATAACATGTACAGTTCGGTATCAAATCAACAAAAATGGCACAGTAATCACAAATACCTGCTGATGAAGTTCTTCCGAGCAGAAAATGGATCAAAATTACAAAAACATGGTGAATTGGATTGAAGTTCTGTATAAATTGTTGCCGGGGAAGAACGTGCAAGAGATTTTTCCGCTAGGATTTATCCATCAGCCTATCTGAGAGTCTGAGGCGCTGGAGCTGTGGGCCAAAACCGAACCAGTAGCCAGGTGCCAACATGGCCCAGTGGGCTCGGTTTCGGACATTTGGTATGTAATTCAGTTAGATTTTGAGGAAGAAGGCTAAATGGGCCCGGTCTGGGTCAGACCAGCGGAGGGCCGGGACAGACTTGAGATCAGTCTGATTGGGGATCGATTGGGACGAGTTTGGGAGTTGGGACTGACTGTCAGAAACCGGTTACAATTTTTGTCAAAAAAGAAGTCCCGGACCGGTTTGGGACCGGTTATGGGTCTGACCCGATTTTTCAAAATCTATATATATATATATATATATATATATATATATTAAAGGAGAAACCAAACATAATGAGGTGACACATTCTAATGTTTGAAACTCCTATTTTTTTCTCAATTTTTTTGATTTTTTTAAATGTTGAATATGTTAAAGACTTTTTTGCCCTGGATAAAAAATGTATAGCTCATAATTAACTCCGGTTATTTTTATAATTTTATATACCCAAGTTTAACCTCCAACTCTTGATTTGTTCTTCCATTTACTTTCTTTTATTTCTTAATGAAATTTGTTTTTTAAAATTTTAATAATAAACAAAATGAATCCTAGAAAATCCTTTGGTGAGGGATAAAAAAGGTAAGAGTTGAGGAAAAATTCAAAGATTTTAAAAGGTATGTAGAAATTATATTCATTAAAAAATGTGATTTGTTATTACATATTTCTTTTTTCAATATTGTTGGATTTGTTGTTATCATAGGATATGATTGTGTTTGCGACTAGATCATATAAATTATGCTTACGATTTGATCATATAAATTTGAATAAAATTTTGATATTTTGTAACAGGATATGATAATTTTTTTTTGAATTTAAGCTTCAACAATAACTATTTATAAGTGATTGATAATTACGTTAAATTTTGACTACTTCAAGATTTTTTCAATTGACATAATCTTTTGGTGAGTAATGAAGAAATAAGAGTTGAAGAAAATTTAAATGATTTCAAAAGGTATCTAAAAATTATATTATTTACAAAATGTGATTTGTTATTACATATTTCTTCTTTTCAATATTGTTGGATTTATTGTTATCGTAGGACATGATTGTGTTTACGATTAGATCATATAAATTCGAATAAAATTTTGATATTTTATGATTACAAGATATTATAAAAAAACGAATTGTTACTCCGTTCACAATAATTGTTTATACGTGATTGATAATCATCAATATATATATATATATATATATATAAAGGAGAAACCAAATACAATAGATGTTTTTCTCTAGATACTAGTAGTGTACCCGCGCAATGCGGCGGGATGTGAAATTTTGAAAAGATGTAAACGGACATATCGATTACGGATAAAAAATTTGTATTTTGTTCTATCAGGATATATATTTGAAAAGATTTAAAAGGTTATATCAGGATATATATTTAACTTCCCGCGCAATGTGTCATGATGTAAAAGTTCAATCAGGATATATATTCAATTTTTAAATATCATTTTATATTGCAAAATATCTTTGAAATAGTTGGTGGTTCACATCTGTATCAAAATTCGAAAATGACAAATTAATGCAATTTCACATTCAGAAAGTCTAAAATTTATGTTTAAAAAAAATAGAAATTAGAATCATGTTTTTATCATACACAATCATCATTCAAAACTTCTTGATACACCACATTTGATGTGTAGACTCCTTCTTGGTTGAACTTTTTGGTAGGAACTCCACCGGATATAAGTTATTCTTG